TTTTGTTCAATTGTCACTGAAATTTCTACTGATACCGGTATTGTGATTGCTACAAATCTTTTCCTCTTCCATATTAATTACGAATTTTACTTAGAATCTCTAAAGTTTTATCATGCAAGATAGTAACATTTTATAATAAATTTACTGATGCATAAAAACTGAATTCCAATCAAAACTTAACAGCCTAAATCTAAAGAACTATTCCAAAAATCAATGTTTAAAATGTAGAGCTTGTGTATCTTCCTTTAAGAATTTATTCCTTGGGGTTTGTCGGGGGGAAATAGGAGAGGGACAGCGGGGGGTGGGGAGTTGGGGAGAGACAGCATGGGGAGAAATGCCAGATACAGGTGATGGGGAGGAAGGCAGCAAATCACACTGCCATGTGTGTACCTATGCAACACATGTACCCCAAAACCTAAAATGCAATTTAAAAAAAAAAAGAAAAAAGAAAAAGAATTTATTCTTGGCAAAAAACATTCATGCATTCTTAGATGATTTATTCACACTTGAAAAGTTTTTAAATATATATGAGATGTATCGTATCACACACATGCCTTAAACTCACCACTCCTTAATTTGTTATACTCAGTTCATTAAAGGACTTTTTTCAAAAAGTTTCAACATTAACTTTTCAGAATTTGATTGTAATTTTGGCATTAGCAAATAAATATAAAAGTATTTATTTCTTCTGTATTTCATAAACGTCTTTTTAAAACGTACATTGTTTTAAAAGAACCAATATAAATTTATCTTTTGAAGATTTCAAAGTTATCATCTTTGTATTTACTTCTGGAAAATACTGTAGAATGTTACTAGTGATTCCATTAAAAACTCTGGGCCAGGTATGGTGGCTCACGCCTGTAACCCAGCACTTCGGGAGGCCGAGGCGGGCGGATCACGAGGTCAGATCGAGACATCCTGGCCAACATGGTGAAACCCCATCTCTACTAAAAATACAAAATTAGCTGGACATGGTAGTGCACACCTGCAGTCCCAGGTACTTCGGAGGCTGAGGCAGGAAAAATCACTTGAACCCAGGAGGCGGAGGTTGCAGTGAGCCAAGATCATGCACTCCAGCCTGGTGACAGAGTGAGACTCCATCTCAAAAAAAACAAAAACAAAAACCTCTGAATTCCAGTTCAAATGACTAACTCAATACATGTTTGTGTGGATGCCAATGAAACAAAAGAACAAACATAATAAATCCATAATAGTGCTCGAATGCCTGGAAGGCTAGTACCAGCGGTCCTAACAGTGCAGGAGCAGATGAGAACTGGCGCACTTGAAGAACTGAGCATTCCAGCCTACATCTCTAAAGCAAAAACTCCCTCTGTCGTCCCCTACTAAAAAATTTACTTTTCTTAGAAGGAACCTAAAAACAACAACAAGCAAAATAAAACTCAACAAAGCAACTAAGGTAACTGGAAAGACTGAGTCAAGAAAAATAATGGCCAAGTAATTTTAAGAAGGAAAAGTTACACCAGTCATTTGCTTCAAAGAAGCTGATTCTAGCATCAGTACGAAACTTTCCCTACGTAAAGTACTGCATATATTTTTCAAAAGCAAAACTTATTTGGAGGAATTCTATGGTAAGTGATAGAGCTCACAGAAATTTTTGAATTTCATCGATTAAAAAAGTTCTTAATACTTCCAAACAATTAAAAAAATCCTTTCCAAGGAAAAAAGTTGGGATGACACTGAACTATCACCTGCAATATGGAGTGACAGAAGATAATACAATTAGTTTGGTCATTATAAAAGAAAATTTTGAATAGATAATCAAGTATGAGAGCAATATACAAGCACATAAAATTTACCCTCCCTACATATTTTTTCTGAGACAGAGTCACACTCTGTCACCCAAGCTGGAGTGCAGTGGCACAATCACGGCTCACTGCAGCCTCAACCTCCTGGGGTCGAGAGGTCCTCCTACCTCCTCCTCCTGAGTAGTTGGGACTACAGGCACAAACAACCATGCCCAACCTCTGAAGAATTAACTGAAGATGTTAAGCAAAAGTTGATATGAACACAAAGAAAAATAAACTGAAAGTCATAATGAGAAAACTGAATATATTTCTTTCCAGATCCAACTACTCAAACAGAAAAAAAGAAAATAATAACAGTATTAAACAATTTAACAATGCAATTAAACAAACATGATTAAACAGAAATACATAGAACATGTGACCGTGATTAGAAAGCATGCACAATGTAAGCAACATTTTAAAACAAGAGAGACTACACAATGCAGAACATCAAAGCATAAAAAACTTGACCATGAATTTAAGCACAAAGAAAAAACCATCAAGGCTGTTATCTGACGCAAAAATACTAGAAATCATCAAAAAGGGCTCAGCCCTCCCATCATCCTGTGCCCCAACAATAGCTATTCACTAGAAAATTCTAAAACTTCTATTTTAAATAGTACTTCAATAAAAGAAAAATAAATATTGGGGCCACAGATAATTTAGAAAAGCCTAATGAAAAGACTACATATTAAAAACTATAGAACACAGCCAAAAATGAACTGAAAGGAACTTTTTTTTGAGACAGGGTCTTCTCCGTTGCCCAGGCTGGAGTACAGTGGTATGATCATAGCTCAGTGCAGCCTAGAACTCCCGGGCTCATGTGATTCTCTCACCTCAGCCTCCGCAGTTGCTGGAACCACAGGCACACACTATTACACCAGGCTAATTGTTGTATTTTTTATTTTCTGTAAAGATAGGGTCTCCTCATGGTACTCAGGCTGATCTCAAACTCCTGAGTTCAAGTGATCCTCCTGCTTCAGCCTCCCAAAGTGCTGGGATTACAGGCATGAGCAACCATGCCTGGCCCAAAGGAATACTTACAGCTTTAAGCTAATTTATTACAATATAAAAAGTCTGAAAATAAATAAAGAAATCACCTGAAGAATATAAATATCAATGTACATTATAGCAAGGAATGTACAGCTGTCCCTCCATATCTGTAGGTTTCACATTATTGGATTCAACTAACTACAAATTGAAATGCTAAAAAAATTCCATCTGCATTAAACATGTACACAGACCTTGTCATTATTTCCTAAACAATACAATATAAAAGCTAATTATGCAGACTTTACATTGCACTAAGTAAACAACAGATGATTTAAAGTATATGGAAGATATGAATAGGTTATATGCAAACACACTATTTTATATCAAGGACTTGAGAATCCACACATTTTGGTATCCAAGAGAGATCCTGGAACCAATCCCCCATAGATACCAAGAGACAACTCGTGTGTGTGTGTGTGTGTGTGTGTGTGTGTGTGATGATACATCTCATAGGCATACATACATACATACACATACACATACATATAATATACACATATATATAAAGAGAAAAGAAGGAAAGAAAGAAGAGGAATTAGTATCAATTAAGGTAACCATTATTAGCATATTTTACCACATCATCAAATGAGTATCTTTGTTAACTTTCTTTTCTTTCATTCTTGTTCTTTATTTTATTTATTTATTTATTTTGAGACAGAGGTCTCACTTTATTGCCCTGGCTAGAGTACAGTGGTGCAAACATGGCTCATTGCAGCCTCAACCTCCCCGGGCTCAGGTGATCCTCCCACCTCAGCCTCTGAAGTACCTGGGACTACTGGCACACACCACTACACCTGACTAACTTTTTGTATTTTTAGTAGGAAGAGGTTTTGACATGTTGCCCAAGCTGGTCTTTAACTCCTGGGCTCAAGCGATCCATCTTCCTTGGCCTCCCAAAGTGCTGGGATTACAGGTACGAACCACTGTGCCTGGCCCATTCTTGCCCTGTACTTTAAAATATTACTTTCCCCTCTTTCTCTCTCCTGTCTGCTGTCACAGTGGCATATAAGAGATACACAGGCTCTGTAGTGACGTTTAGGACCAGGGAACAACTGAATCCAGAGCTAAAAATGGTACTTGAGCTCTTGAATACTTAAAATACATTAGGAGCCATTATTCAGGATCACATTGAATCTGATACTCAGGATGCATTTATGATATTAAAAAATTAAGAAAATTTAAAATGGCAGCAAATACAGTATCTTAAGTCAGTACTTCTGAAAAGTTTGCATTGAAATGGTCCTTATGACAGACAAGAGTAAATGTGGACTTCTCAGCCATCTTGTACGTAAGACTTGTATAAAAGAATTGTTTTAAAACCTGTGGTAAGTAATGCATTACCAAATATAATAAAAATTTCATAAAATCACTTCATTTTTATTCCTATCTGGTTTCCTGAATGCTGAGGATATTTTTTAAAAGAAATGTAAGTATAATATACTTTTTTAAATATTTCATTCCTCTATTAGATATCTTTTTTGTAAGATAAATAGCAATGTACAACATCCTCTCTTGGATACCAAAATGTGTGGATTCTCAAGTCCTTGATTACATATAACATATTTATGAACATACATTTATGAAGGAGAAAAGTATGGATATGAATAGCACAGTCACATGGGCAGAGGCAAAAATAAGTACAGACCTAGTCTCTTTGATTCTAACTTTCCTGTATTGGTAGAATATATTTCATATTTTTTGGATGCAATTAGTCAGCTAGGCAACTTGAAATACATTGATGATGTACGTACTTTTGTTACCAATATCTATAACTACCTCCTTTTCCTTCTCACGTAAATAAAAAACAATATAATGAAGGCTTCAATTAACTTTACATATACATTCATAGAAGTTTAACAAATCGACCTAAGGAAATCATATAAATCCAGCCAAGCAACCTTAAAACCCCAAAGCAAAATCATGCTGAAATTCTATTTTGCCATTATAAGAGTCAATCAAATTTAACTTAAGGATAAAATTGATAATCTTTCAAACTAGGCCTATAAAACAAATATTTTAATAACATCTTTAAATTCTTATGCTTTAAAATTTATGCTAATAAATTTTAATGTATATATTTAAATATTTCTATATGTTTTTGTAATACCAGCATCATGAGTAGACTATTTCTAGAGATTTTACCTTTTTTGCTGTAGAAGAAGGTTCCTTGTTCATACTTCTTAGTAAAAACTCTGGCATGTTATTTTCAATATCCTCACGAGTTCCCTTTTTTTGCAAAACTGCAGCCAGAAATGAAATAACCTGAGAAAAAAGACTTTTTCAATCACTGTGTATAATGTATCACGACATACAAAATTTCACTGCTTACATGACTATCCAATAAGTGATGAAATATGTACAAAGAGATTTGTTGGGGGGAAAATATAACATGAAATGTTAGTACTGATTATCTTTATTTGTAACAACGTTTTTTACCCTTGTAAACAAACAAAATTCCTCACATTGCCATCTTTTCCATGATAACTTCTACCTACCCAATGGATTCTTTCTTAATTCCATCACTTGAGACACTATCTTCTTATTTGTTTCTAACCATGGAAACTATCTCTTCATATCCTCTATTAGAATAAACTGTATGCATTCCTGTTTCCATGTAGAACATAAACTCCTTAAAGATAATACTTGGCCCATAAATTTGTACACTTCTATTATCTAATAAATATAGGTGAAATGGCAAAATGTTAAGATAGACGAATTCATTAATATATACAACATTTTGAGTAACAGCTAGTCTCCAAAATTTAAGTGAGAAAAACAGAAAAAAAGGAATCGTAACCTCCTATAATAAAGGGCAAGAAATACTGAACTGGTAAGACTGATTCAAATGTTAGCTCTGATTGCTTGGCTGCTATGTGAACTTGGGCAAGGTAGTTAACCTCCCTGAATAGTATCTGTAAAAATGGCAAAAAATAATACTGGCAGGGTTGTTTTAAAGATTGAGAAGAAACGTATATGAAGTATCCAAATGGGAGAAAATAACTGATCATTACCTTACAAAATAAAGTATATAAGAATAAAACTTTGTAATTCAAAAAACTGAGAGAATCAGAAAAACTATAGAAAAAAAGTATACTTAATAAGGGTGTGGATACCTATAATCTGAATCCCAAATGATAGAAGGAAATAAATGATACAGGAGAAGCATCTGAAGAAATAAAAGCTGAAAACTTAACTGACTTTAAAAATCAAGCCACAGACTCAAGATCTTCTTCTAAGAACCAAAACCAAAACAAAATGAAAACCAAAAACAAACAAACAAAAAAACACAAGCAGGTACACTGAAACAACCTGAGACAGAAAAATGTTTGTTAAAAGCAGTCAGAAGAAAAAACAGATTATCTACAAAAAAGTAACAACTGGTCTGGCCATGGTAGTTCACACGTGTAATCTCAGCACTTTGGGAAGCCGAGGTGGGTAGATCATTTGAGCCCAGGAATTCAAGACCAGCCTGGGCAACATGGCAAAATCCCATCTCTACAAAAACTACAAAAATTAGCTGGGTACAGGGTGGCTCATGCCTATATTCCCACCTACTTGGAAAGCTAAAATAGAAGAACTGCTTGAGCCCAGGGCAATGAGGCTGCAGCGAGTCGTGATTGCACCACACTGCACTCTAGCCTGGGCAACATGGCAAGACCCTGTTTCAAAATAAAAAAATAAAAACACAAACAAATAGACAAGCAGCTGACCTTGCAGCAAAAACAACGGGAAATATTATACAATAGAATATTTTCAAAGTGCTAATAAAAGCAACCTAGATTTTTATACGTACTGACGATATTCAAGAATGAACGGTAAAGATTCTCAGACTACCAAAAACTGAGCCAATTCATCACCGAAAAAGCCACACTAAAGAAAGTAAGTACGGAATGTTTTCAGGCACAAGGAAAATGATACTAAACAGAACATCAGTGACATAGGGAAAAATTAAGAGCAACAAAAATGATAAATATATACAAAATATATGTATTAATTGACATTATCAAACAACAAAAAAGTTTCATTGAAATCAAGTAACAGAAGAATTAAAAGCTATGGCAACAAACGTGTGAGTCAGAAAGAACACAAGTGTAGTTATAATATTCTGAGGTCACTATGCTGTCAGGAGAAAATTAAAGTACCAATTTATGTTAGATTATGATAAATCAATGATATCTGTCGTAACCTCTAAGGGTAACCACTAATAAAAGAATAAAAAAGGTGTACCTAATAAAAGGAGATAATAAAGTAATATGAATCTATCCAAAAGGACACAAAAAAAGTAGGAAAAACAGAACATGGAATAAATAAAAAACAAATAGTAAAATACTAAGTTTAAAGCCAAATATACTAGAAAGCACTTTATATGGAAATGGACTAAATAGTCTAAGCAAAAGATAAAGATTGTCAGACAAATAAAATTATTTCCTTGCTATTTACAAGAAAAACACCTAAAAAAGAAAAGGGATACAGTTCTAATTCAAAAATGAAAATGATAGACCACATAAACAAAAATCAAAGAAAATTCATACAGCTATATTCATATCAGATATAGATGCTGAGGCAAATATCATGAAATTGAGGCACACTTTAACTTAATATTGATAATAAAATTAGTTCACTTGGAAATTTTAAGAAGTCTAAATGTATCAAGAACGAAAGAAAAATTTACTGAAATTTATTAGACAAGTCTACAAGCACAATGGCAGATTTAAAAATAACTCATCAAGAACAAACAAAATAATTAGTAAAGATACAGATTTCAATAACATGATTGTCAAACTTGACCTAATAAACATTGCTAAAACACTGCACACTACTGCAAAGCACAGTTTCATTTTAAGGACATGTGAAATATTTACCAAAGTTGACATATGTGCTGGGCATGGTGGCTCACACCTGTAATCCCAGCACTCTGGGAGGCTGAGGCAGGCGGATCACCTGAGACCAGAAGTTTGAGACCAACCTGGCTAACATGGTGAAACCTTGTTTCTAGTAAAAATACAAAAAAATTAGCAGGCATGGTGGCGTGTGCCTATAATCCCAGCCCATAATCCCGGCTGAGGTAAGAGAATTGCTTGAACCCGAGAGTGGAGGTTGAAGTGAGCTGATATCACACTCCAGCTTAGGCAACAAGAGTGAAACTCCATCTCAAAAAAAAAAGTTGACATATGCCTGGCCACAGAAGCCTCAATGCATTTCAATATACGGAAACCATACAGAATATTTTCCTTGATTACAATACAATAAACTAGAAATAACAAAAATAGAAGCAGAAAATCTTCAAATGTTTGGACAGTAAGGAACAGAATTCAAAGAGCTCACAATATAAATCAGAAAATATTTGAATAAAATAATAACAATATATGTTGAATTTGTAGAATACAGCAAAAGCTTGTACCTTAGGGACTTAAATGAGTATTGCAGACAGTTCCCAGCTTATGACAGTTCAACTTGCAATTTTTCAATTTACAATGGTGTAAAAGTAATATGCAATCAGAAGAAACAATAAAACAAGTACGCATACATTGTTTTTTACTTTCAGTACAATATTCAATAAACTATATGAGATTCAACACTTTAGTATGAAATAGGCATTGTGTTTGATGATTTCGCCCAACTAAAGGCTAATGATAAGTGTTCTGAGCATGTTTACGGTAGGATGGGGTAAGCTATAATGTTCAATAGGTTAATGTATTAAATGCATTTTCAACTTACAATATTTTCAACTTACGATGAGTTTATGGGGACACAATCCCACTGTAAGTCAAGGAGCATGTGTATTAGGAAAGATGAGGGACTATCAATCAGATATCAAAGAATGTATCTCAAAAACTTATGAAAATACAGAAAATTTAACACAAAAAAGCAGAAATTACTAAAGCATACAATAAAAATTAGAAATACCTAATGTAGATGATGGGGTGATGGATGCAGCAAACCACCATGGCACGTGTATACCTATATGACAAACCTGCACATTCTGCACATGTACTCCTAAACTTAAAGTATAATAAACATATAATAAATAAATGAAAAGAAAATGATCAATGAGGCCAAATAATCATCCTTTGAAATAATTTTTAAAATAAATGCCTGGCAAAATTGATAAAGAAAAAAGAGAAGAGAAAAGGCAAACGAAAAATATGTATAACCCATAATAATGCTTTGCCAATAAATGTGAAAATTTACATGAAATGTAGAAATAGAATTTATCAAAACTGACAAAAAGGAAATTTACATACCCATAAACCATGAAAGAAACCTAAGTATGTAATTATAAACCTTCTACAAAGAAAATTAGGGGCCATATAGTTTCACCAATAAATTCTACCTAATGCTTGAGAAAAATACAATACCAATCTGTAACATACCCCTTCAGGATTTAGAAAAAGGGGAAAATATTCTTAACTCATTTCATGAGTTCAACATAACTTAAGAAAACCTGACAAGAACATTATAAAACAGAAAATTTACAAGCCAAGTTCTCTTACTTACATAGAAGCAAAACTCTTAAACAAAATGTTAGCACAGAGAACACAGAAGTTTTAAAAAGGATATAAATATATTCCAAAACTAAACTGGGTACATTCTATAAATGTAAGTTTGGTATAACCTTTGAAATTTAAGTATTAGGTAGTTATCAGCTAGATATTTTAGGCAATACACTTAGCATTCCTACATTCCTTAAAATGAGAATAGCATGACTTATTACAAGAAACTTATATTTTACATGAAGCAGTACATTATTAGGTACACTGCAAAAAGCTGACAATGAGTATTTCATCAATAGAACAATGACTAAAAATATGAAGCAAAGAAGTATAAAAACTCAATAGAAAAATTAAAATAAAATTCTTAAAAAATACTGTATCAACCCAAAAGAAGGCAGGAAAGAACAGAAAACAAGCTGTTCAAACTGTTCAAAACGGACTGTTGCTGAATGAACAGAAATAAAATAATAATGTGTGATATCCAAATCCAAACATAACAAGAATTATGTTAAATGTAAATGAACTAAATATTCCAATTAAATATCAGAGACTGTTAGAATGAATAAAAGAGCTGTCTACAAGGAACATTACATAATAATGAAATGGTCAATTCATCAAGAAGATGTAACAACCATAAAGGTTTGTAACCTTAATAACAGAGCATCAAAATATATGAAGGTAAAACTGGCAGATTAAAAGAAATAGACATATCTGGCTATGGTTCATGTGGTGGTTCATGCCTGTAATCCCAGCACTTCGAGAGGCCTA